AATAGAAATAATATGTCATTGAAGCACATGTATTTCAATTGGCTGTAAATATTAATGTCAGACCAGACATTGAATCGTTTGGTGTTAGAGAAGAGCAGTCAACTCCAGATAAACCCAGTCTTCTATCTAAAATCATAATTCAAGATTGGGGAAGGATATTTGGGAAAGGACACTATCAATGTCAGTAACAGTTTGTGGTTAAAGATTTTTCCAAGACACAAAGCATAACAAAAGCAGAACTGTGACATATGAATTTTAAGAAAAGCACATCACAGTGGAAGCCAGTGATAGAACCTGGAGGAAAATCCCAAGGTTAGCATCAGTATTTAAACAGAAACTAGTATATCATTCAGACTAATGTCTTTGCATAAAAACGAAAATTCTGAGAAAATTCCCCAAAAGACATAGGTTATATATATTAAGATGTGTAAATTAAATAGTTGAGTATAGCTACTACTCAACTCTTGACATGAATATACTCTAGATAGATATTTGATCACAAAAAGCCATTCATTTGTTCATCCATGCCACAGATATGTACTGAACGTCTCAAAGTGACAGACAGTATTCCAGAGTCTGCAAATACAAAATTGAGTAAAATTTCCCTAATAAAGCTCATATTTAAGTGCAGAGAACAGATGTAATACTGGGAACAAATAAAATAATTACACTTTGTAAACTTCAAATAGGGAAACTCACAATTGGAAACATGATAGTCAAGTCCCAGAGAGCTGGAAATACTCCTCGGGTTAAAGGACAGTTAAAGAAATGGGAAAGAAATCCACCCACACGTCTTAAGTTCCTTGCACCTTCCACGCTAACCTTCTTCCCTTGACAGGTAATGGCTGGGGCAGAAGGAACAAGATCAAGTGGCAGCAGGAATCAGGAAGGGATGCCTTCTGGTACCAGCTATTGCCTATTGGACGCCAGAAGGTAAGGACCCATTTGGTGAGCACGTGCATTAAGAAGAGAGTGTGGCGTTGAGCAAAGCCCCTGGGAAGGAGAGTCTGGACTGGGGTTTAGAGAGCCAATTCAACCACTTATTTAGCTATGTGACACCAATAATATAAAATCTTCCTAAGCCTTTTTATCTGTAAGATGGAGATGATAAAATATTAGCCATCTCTAAGTGTGTAGTGAGAATTAAACGAGATGAAGTGCCAGGTGGACAAAAATTATCAGTCATTCCTTCCTCCCATGGTCTCCACAAGACTCAGTTTTCATCTTTGTAAAACAGTCATAATAATGCTTTTCTTAGCCAAAACCACAGTGTCGTTTTGAAGATCGATCAAATGAATTAATACATATAAAAAAGCTTCTAGGGTGTGGAATATTATGGAACATTCATTTTTTTCACCTGGTCTTTACAAATCATATTCTTAAATTAATAAAGAAAACATAAGAACAAAATATTTCTGTGCTTCTGACAACAGTCCTAGGCTTTTCAATCCCCTTTGATTTTTTTTTCTTGTGTGTATGTCTTTCTTTTTTTTTTTTGAAGGTCTGAATTAAGGAATTTAACCATGGGGTACTATTTCTAGTCTAACCACCTGGAGAAGTTAATTTTTATAACATACGAGGGAAAGCACACACTCAGAGCAGAGGAAATGCCTCAGAGCGTTTCCAAGGATGTGGGGAAGAGTGGTATTTAAATTGACAACGAAAAGCCATTTAAAATACCTTGTGTGGTTTGGAAAGCACTGAATTGGACAGTTGTCTGGGAAATCACCTCCAGCCTCCTTCAAAGACTGGATACCAAGTCCACTTTCTGCTCCCAAACTACTGGGGGACCCTTCTCATGACTCGTTTTGGACAAACACAGATGAACACCAAGCTTTCTTTTAAAATATTCTGTCAGCCAAAGAATCAGCCGTGACAGCATTACCTTATGACAGGCGAGGTTACAATTAATTAGGTTATAGCTTATTTTAGAGTAATTACATTTTAGATTGGTGGCTCCCTGATGAGATTTTGTTATTTTCGGGAAGAGTTCCACAGATGGCTAATCCTATCAAAGTTGTTTTGATTCATGTGAGCTCAAGGTTATGAGATCTTGACATTCGCCTTCTACTGATGCTGGAGGTGACTGCTTACTGTGTCCTGACTGCTCCCCACACCCCAGTTCTAAATGCCCCCTCCACAGCACTCAGCATTCACACCCTGTGGTGCCTTTTTTATACGTGGGGTATTTAGAGAGGAAGCAGTTAAGAAGACGCGATCAAGGATCCAGTAAACACGGTGATGGTTCCTTCATATGAAGCTGTCTTCCTAATGCTTCCCTGTCCCTGGGAAAGGATATTTTCTTCTAGTATTTCGTATTTTACTGGTTCAGTTCCTCCTCAATATGTATAATTAAGAAGAGATGTTCTAACGTATCTAAAGTTTATGTGTCATTCTTAGTTTTAATGAAACCAGAAGATGATGGGGCCTTCATTCTACTCATCAGACGTACTCCCTCCCGCCCTCATTAACCATTTAAGATTTTTGACCCAAATATCAGTTAAAGGTAATTACTATCAACATAGCCTCTATCTTTAAAATAATAGGTTCATTAAACCAATTTTCTCAGGTTGTTTGGTTTTTTTCTTCTGTTTGTTTCTACAATTCATTCATTCACTCCCAAACATATTTTTTGAGTGTTTATTCTGTGCCAGGCTCTGTTCTAGATCTCAGGGGTGGGCAAGGATGAGAAGTCTCTGCCTTCATGGGCTTACTGTCAGTAAAACTTTAATTATCAAAACAGGATATGGGTTGGGGAGGGTATAGCTCAAGTTGGTAGAGCGTGTGCTTAGTATGAACAAGGTCCTGGGTTCAATCCCCAGTACCTCTGCTAAAAATAAACAAATCTAATTACCTCCCTACCGCCAAAATAAAATATTTAAATAATACAGCAATAAGTAAATAAAATATTTTTTAAAAGGGTGTCAGTATGCCACTTTCCACCTAGTTTTAGAAGAGAATTTGTTATTATTACCTGTCCAGCATTTTGGTACTGGCTCGTTCCAGCTTCTCCAGTATCTGTGGAAGTTGGGTGTCATCATCATATGAACCTCCCCAGCCAAGAACCCGGGCCAGGTCATTTCCTGTACCCAGAGGCAGGACTCCCAGCTGACACTGAAAGAGAGCCCCACAGAAGACCTCAGACAAGTTGAGACACAGGGACTATGTCATTTCTGCACTTCTTGGGTTACTAGATTAGGACACATTCATGTTAACTAGCAATGAAAAGAATGAGCACTTGCCTGTTTATTCAAGTTGAGTTTATCAATTTCTGACAAAACCCAACCTACACTTCCATCTCCTCCACAAACGAGAATCCGGAAATTGTCAAACTTCTGGAACAATCTTAAACTGAAAGCAAGAAGTATTTTATTTAAGTATAAATAGATTAAAAACCACTTTCCCCAATTCTCAGTCATTCTGTTATTTATTGGTATTCACGTTCAGGTTAAATATGAGAATTCTTACTTAATGTGAATTATACTACAGAAATTACTTTGAGCGCAATGTTTAACTCAAGAAAACGTCTTAATCATAAAGAGGAAAGGAGAATATAAGTAGAAATGGAGATAAATTAGGAGGATAGGGGAGTGAGAAACGAGAAAATGAAAAAGCAGCAGAACCCAGGAAAGAGAATGAAAGGTAAGTGATACAAAATGGTAAAGGGGGTGATTTTTCTCTTTCCCTCATAAGGATATGTTATTTCCATAAGCAGCATATTACAAACGAGGGCAGGGATCCCAGGGCACTGATGCTCTGAGGTGGCCTTTGGGGCAGTTCCAGAGACCCACCAACCTCACTGGTGTACCCCTGTCATACTTCTAGTTGCTTTTTCTCTTCCTCTTCTCCTAGTCTCAGGTCCATCATTTTACTTCTGTCTTCCTTCATCTCAACTTTTGACACTTCTCACCTCCTGAATGGACCTTGGTACACCTCAACTTTGTAAGAAATCAAAAAAATATGTTACGGAGACACTATCAAGAAGTTTCACAAACGGAGTGCCTTCGAATCTTAAGGGGTGGGTGGAAAAAGTAAATGTCAAGAATATAAAGTATTAGATACATGCACCCCAATGTCCATAGCAGCACCATTTACAATAGCCAAGACATGGAACCAACCTAAATGTCCATCGACCGATGACTGGATAAAGAAGTTGTGGTATATTTATACAATGGAATACTACTCGGCCATAAAAAAGAATAAAATAATGCCATTTGCTGCAGCAACATTGATGGACCTAGAGCTTGTCATTCTAAGTGAAGTAAGCCAGAAAGAGAAAGAAAAATACCATATATCAGTTATATATGGAATCTAAAAAAACAAAAAAGAGAGAAAAAGAGTACTCACAAACTCATCTACAAAACAGAAACAGACTCAAAGACATAGTAAACAATCTTATGGTTACCAGGGGGGAAACGGGTGGGAAGGGATAAATTTGGGAGTCTGAGATTTGCAAATGTTAGCCACTATATATAAAAATAGATTTTAAAAATCCAGATTTCTTCTGTATAGCACAGGGAGCTATATTCAATATTTTATAATAATCTTCAGTGAAAAAGAATATGAAAACAAATATATGTATGTATATGCATGACTGGGACATCATGCTGTACACCAGAAATTGACACATTGTAACTGACTATACTTCAATAAAAAAAAAGAATATAAGATATTAAAACCATGAAGGATTATAACACAGATTGTGCTAGCAAGGGAGACAAAGCTAACCATCAATGGAAGTGACAAAGGAGAGAAGAGAGGCCAGATGAGGAAGTGCCCAGACTCATACAGGGGAAAAGAAGGGACGTACAAGCACATATGGAAGGAATTGGACTTAAATGAAGAAGACCAACACCATGGGACCAGAAAGGCCTGAGACAGCAAGAAAAAGGTAATGGAAACAAGAAGGAAGACCCTGAAGGGACAAAAGTGAAAAGAGGCATATAGAGACACTGAGGAGAGAAACAGAAGACAGGAAAGTGCTAAATCACAAAATGCAAAAGGCCTTTTCAGGAACTGATATCTAAAATCTCCATTTCTACTGGGTTCATGCATTACGGTGACAGTGGAGCTCAAGAGAAAAGCCGAGTTGGCATCAGTGAATCATAAGGAGATTGCAGGTCCCTGGTTCAGATGACACAACATTACCTGTTCAACGAAAATCATATATATGTGCTAACAACGTACTCAAAATGCCTCAAGGCATTTCCCTCATTGAAAATATATTTAATCCCCCCCCCAATTTTAGGTTACATGACATTCCAGAAAGTTTGAAACTAGCAATTAACAAAAGTACTATTTTTGTTATTTATGAAAACTGAGTCTGAAATCCTTAAGGACCTGTCCTTGAGACCTACTACAAAATCTGTGCTATGGTTAAACAACAATTTGTATTATATAAAAATCAATACTAGCCTTCCATACAAATCATTTTCTAAAGTTATTTTTGGTATGTCTATATTTATACAAGTTGCTCTTTCGTAGAGCTAAGCAAACTGTGTTGTTTGATGTAGGACACATCCTAAAGTATTTTTAAACAAATTTTGGAATTTTCAGCACACAAGGAAGTTACACAAATATCAAAATGGTAGTGTTAAAATTTATAATTAGAGCTTTGAAAAAAAGGGAGGCATGGGAAGATCAACACAGAGAGGTCTAGCTGAATCTACAATTTTCGTGAATTGAAAAGCCAAACGTACTTCACAATCAGTGCAACATTTCATTCAAACGAGATTTGTCAATAATCATTACCCTAAATGAGGACCTCCATTCATTAAATCAAACACCTGAGCCGGATTTAGTAGCTGTTTAAATCGACGAAGAAACTTTACTCCCTGATTATCTCCACTCTTAGAATTGACAAAAACCAACAGAGGACTAACACAGAATGAAAACGTTGCTCTACAGAAACCTGCAAAACAAACAAACAAACAAACAAAAACACAGTACAAGATCAGTATGTATAGCTTTCTCTTTTAAATTATTAACAAAACTTCAGGGAAAAAGATAAATTCATAAATAAAGAACCTTGTTTATTACTTTAACAATAACTTAAAATTTAGCCCTCCAAATGGAGATAGGCTTATTATTTACATACTACGACTACAAAATA